GCAACACACTTACTGCCGATAACTGACTGCATTAAATTTTAACACATTTGTGTGACATGATATGCAGTACTTTTGGTCACAGTGCCCCTATAATTTGCCGATGTAAACATTGCATAAATTATACGACACCTGCCACTTTTTAACCAGCGAGTAAAGACCTTTACACCCTAAATCAGTCTTACCATTTTGACGCAAAACTACTTGACCGTGTAAATTTATATGCATGTAAATTAATACCAGCAAGTGGCTCAAAACAGTAACTGTTATTTACATCTAATAAAAGACTTCTTTGATATTTTCGGAATAGCAGTCATTTAAATGGATCATATACAAACTAGTCTTGTTAAAATTTGGTAAAAGAATTTGCAATTTATCTTTTTTAGGGACTGGTATTTTCTTTTGTATACTTTTATTACAACATCAATTAGATTAACAATTAATAAGTGTAAACTGAGCAGTTTTATCGGTGATAATTAATGCACTGGGTTCCCATATTTACTCGATTATGACCTATATTCTGGCTAACACAATCAAGTAGCCTACAACGATCAAGTAGTCCCCCTGATGTTTATATCCGACAGACATTTGTGACAGCAAACTGAAGACATACAAACGGATTTTCTTTCAAGTTTCTTAAATATTGCAGAACTTTACTATTTATGGATTTAATCTGTCACTAAAATGTTTTTTTTTTGTATAGTACATTCATACGTCAAAAATCAGCCAGAAAAGCGCCAACGACTGTTGATATATATCGGACAGAGACATGGTAGGAATTATCTGTTGGGTTAAAATTTCGTCAAGTCTTAAATTTGTGGATTGACCTACCAACGAAAACCACAAAAATTTGTGCCCCCAGAATAATAATGATTTCACAGTATTGCTAATAAAATCAAGAAAAGCAATTATGTTAAAAGAAACTCTTACATCTTTTATGGTGGCAGGGAAAAATCTTACTCATAATTATAAGGAACATAAACATCTTTATTAATTGATGAAAGAAGACCCCCCCGCCCCCTGAATTTTCTATGTACATTTTATCAGACAGGATATACCTATGTCCCTCTGTGCATCATTATAAGTGCAATGGCCACCCCAAATATCTCTGTTCATTATATGACTCACAGAAGATACCCAATATGTCCCTCTATCTATTACTGCAGTCAAAGTTGAAACTCAAGTTGCAATTACAGTGTACATTCAAAATGTCCCCCTCTGTGCATTATTGCAGTTACAGGAGTGACCCTAGATGTCCCTTTGTGCATTATTGCAGTTACAGGAGTGACCCTAGATGTCCCTCTGTGCATTATTGCAGTTACAGGAATTACCCCAGATGTCACATTGTGCATTATTTCAGTTACAGGGGTAACACCAGATGTCCCATTGTGCATTATTGCAGTTACAGGAGTGACTATCCCAGATGTCCCATTGTGCATTATTGCAGTTACAGGAGTGACCCCAGATGTCCCTCTGTGCATTATTGCAGTTACAGGAGTGAACCCAGATGTCACATTGTGCATTATTGCAGTTACAGGGGTAACACCAGATGTCCCATTGTGCATTATTGCAGTTACAGGAGTGACCGCAGATGTCCCTCTGTGCATTATTGCAGTTACAGGAGTGATTGTCCCAGATGTCACATTGTGCATTATTGCAGTTACAGGAGTGAGTGTCCCAGATGTCACATTGTGCATTATTGCAGTTACAGGAGTGAGTGTCCCAGATGTCACATTGTGCATTATTGCAGTTACAGGAGTGATTGTCCCAGATGTCACATTTGTGCATTATTGCAGTTACAGGAGTGATTGTCCCAGATGTCACATTGTGCATTATTGCAGTTACAGGAGTGATTGTCCCAGATGTCACATTGTGCATTATTGCAGTTACAGGAGTGAGTGTCCCAGATGTCACATTGTGCATTATTGCAGTTACAGGAGTGACCCCAGATGTCCCTCTGTGCATTATTTGCAGTTACAGGAGTGAACCCAGATGTCACATTGTGCATTATTGCAGTTACAGGGGTAACACCAGATGTCCCATTGTGCATTATTGCAGTTACAGGAGTGACCGCAGATGTCCCTCTGTGCATTATTGCAGTTACAGGAGTGATTGTCCCAGATGTCACATTGTGCATTATTGCAGTTACAGGAGTGAGTGTCCCAGATGTCACATTGTTGCATTATTGCAGTTACAGGAGTGAGTGTCCCAGATGTCACATTGTGCATTATTGCAGTTACAGGAGTGATTGTCCCAGATGTCACATTGTGCATTATTGCAGTTACAGGAGTGATTGTCCCAGATGTCACATTGTGCATTATTGCAGTTACAGGAGTGATTGTCCCAGATGTCACATTGTGCATTATTGCAGTTACAGGAGTGAGTGTCCCAGATGTCACATTGTGCATTATTGGCAGTTAACAGGAGTGATTGTCCCAGATGTCACATTGTGCATTATTGCAGTTACAGGAGTGAGTGTCCCAGATGTCACATTGTGCATTATTGCAGTTACAGGAGTGACCCCAGATGTCCCTCTGTGCATTATTGCAGTTACAGGAATGACCCTAGATGTCCCATTGTGCATTATTGCAGTTACAGGAGTGACCCCAGATGTCTGTTTGTGCATTTTTGCAGATACAGGAGTTACCAAAGATGTTCGTTTGTGCAATTTTGAAGTTACAAGACTTATCGAGCATTATTGCGGCCACTTAAGATACACCTGATGTCTTATAGTGCAATTTGCAATTTGCAATTTTTAAATAAGCGGCAATTATTCACAAATTGTTTTTACAGTTAACACCTAGTGGAAATGATTGACTTTATGCTCATGTGAATTTAGCCAGGTCTACCTGCTTGATGCACCAGTGTTTCACCTTAATCCTGTATATTTATCCATTTTTACAAATGTATTTTTTACTGATTTTCTTTTTTAAGATTTAATGCTCTTACTTTTATTAGACATATGAATAACGTCATGTTTTTGACTTGTTATCTTCCATTTAAATACATCAGGTCAATGACCTCATTAAGTTGTTTTTTTTCTTCTTTGCTTTCATAACAGGAACAATTTTGTTATGATTAATATTAATATATCACTTTTTGCGTAAGATTTCATACAGCATTTTGATATGAACATAAATTGGGACAGCACACTCAACTAAAATAGAATGGGACACAGTAAGGACAAATGAATGAAAGTACAAAAAAGTCAAATATAATGAATATTTATAAAAATTTGATCAAACTGAGATAAACTCGGTGTCCCAGATGTTCGCACCGTAAATATGCAAATCAATGAAAGAGGCACATAAAAATATCAACATGGTCACTCTTCTGTGGAGAAATATGGGCTTTTACCATAGTAAAATGGTTAAGGTCAATAAACTTTTTAGTCATACTGACTTACTGTACTAATGTCATCCTGTTTGTTTACAAATTAAACTAGGTTATAGGGCAACATTTATAACGTAAAACACTATACATTTACACATACTATGATACTATATTAAAGGTGCTACACCATCTCAAACTTAAGCTATAACTTTAACTGTTTCTTAAAACAATCTTGCTCTTTTTATTTATTGTTACAGGTATACCATGCTTATTACATTATCTAAATGAAGTTTATAATTTTCTATTTTGTATTTAGTAAGATTATTAGTTGTAAAGATTTTTGACAGGATATATGATGGGTTTACAGTATTGAAATACAAATATTGCAATATATACTGCAAATGTAATAACGGTTTTCTGAATCAAAATATTACTACATGTGTTAACATACTGGTTTGACTGGTTTGACTGCATAGTTCCATTCCTACTTTTCTGTATTTAAATTTATTCATGAAGTGAGTTTATGATGGATACACAAAAAATCAAAGAACAAAATTGAGTCGCGCCATGACAAAACCAACATAATGGGTTTGCGACCAGCATGGATCCAGACCAGCCTGCGCATCTGCGCAGACTGATCAGGATCCATGCTGTTCGCTATCAGTTTCTCTACTTGTTATAGAGTTTGTAAGCGAACAGCATGGATCTTGATCAGACTGCGCATCCGGCTAGTCTGGATCCATGCTGGTCGCAAACACATTATGTTGGTTTTGTCATGGGGCGGCTCAAATAGAGGACAATACCTGATAATCCAGCATCAGAAGAACGGTACATCGTACATTCTGGTCGCCCGGTCTTTTCACCTGAAAACCATCCGTCTCCTGGGTGTTCTGCGTACGATGCCACTGAATAAAACAAAGTCAACTTCAGTCTACATTTTGTTGGTTCTTTCAGTGTTCATCATAATTATTTATTTCTTGCTCTTTGTTGATTAAGCAATGTATGTAAGTAATAATGTCAGATGATACTTTTGGAAAACTAGAACTCTGCGAGTTGGATGTGTCGCCTTGTGAACAGTATAGCTGTCACTTAGGCATTTTCTTCTTAAATAAAGGTTATTTACAAACACCACTCCTACAATGTGCATGTACCTTGAACTTTAGTGGCATTGGAACTGATTGTAACAATGTTACATCAGGATTGATATAGCTTGAATAGCTTTTATTTTGTAGGAGAATTGCCCGGAAAAAATTAAGTATAATAATTAGCAAAGGGCAATAACTCTAAAATCATGTAGTATGGCCCGGACAAAAATAAAGTATAATAATTAACAGAGGGCAATAACTCTAAAATCATGAAGTACAGAGTACCCGTTTTTGTGCACTGCACTTATATTCAATGAGATCTATCATCCAATAAAGTTCATGTCCATAGCTTTTATAGTTTAGGTGAAATGGCACATACAAGAATGAAATATGAAAAACAAAGAGCAATTACTCAAGAAATAAAAAGGGGAGAGTTCCGGTTCTTGTGCACTGCATTTCTTCTTCACGAGATCTATCATCCTATGAAGTTTCAAGTCCATAGCTTTTATAGTTTAGGAGAAGTGGCCCAGACAAAAATAAATTACGAAAATTAACAATGGGCAATAACTCAAAAATTAAGAAGAGTAACGATTCTTGTGCACTGCACTTCAAGTCATTGAAACAAGCATGCATACCAAGTTTGGAGTCAATCCGTCTTATAGTGACTGAGTTATGCTCCGGTCAAGTCTTAGGGGATGCTGCCGACAACGACGCCAGCCGACAAAAAAAAAAAGGTAACCTCTAAATGTGGTTTTTTCAAGGAGACTAAAAATGATCTTGATTGTTTTACAAGAGTGCGATGGTCAAGTTATTATGCAAACAGTAACATGGGCTGAGGCAGTAAAATGTTTATGTGACAAGGGTCATGACAACATTCTTATTTGAAAGTTACAAGTTCTCAAAAATTAACAAGTTGTTATTAAAAGCATCTAATGGGCATCTTTGAAATATTCAAATAATCAAAAATTCGTTTGTACACACTCAAGAAACAAAAGCTTGCCAACATCAAATTTTTATAACACGACAATTTCCAGACACAATTTCCGAACAAAAAATTACAACTAAATTTGTAAAATACGATTAATATTTGTAATAGATTAAAGACATACACGTGACATAGCAATAATGTTCTAGATAGAAGCGAAATATCACTATGCTTATGACTGATATTCTTCATACTCGTACATTATGAGCATGAACTGGCAGGTGAAATTTCCAAAGTCAAGGTCCCGCCCGATTTACTACGAGACAACGTTCTACCGCATTATTCATTTCTAAAAATAGGCGCTAAAAATTTGACCTACACAATGAAAATAAGGTTAGTTATATAAGCATGACACTTGAAAAAAAAAAAACAGAACATTTCTTTATTATATATATATCAATCTGTATAGAAAATCATAAAATGTACTAAAACAGTGCCAAACTGAATACTTCCGAACAAATTCCATGTTTAAAGCAAGTTTCATTAGAGTAGATATATATTTTGTCTTCTTTAGGAAATAGACAATTTTTTTTATTTAATTATATCACTATAAACCCAGAGATCTAGTTAAATGTTGCATGTTACATTTAATGTTGGACTTACAAATACAATGTAAATGAAGGCATTTTTTTTCCCAATAACATGTATAATTAACCTAAAATAATCAAAGTATAAGTTAAATTTCATAACTACATGAATTGTGTATTTATTTTTTCTTCAATATTATGTTTTTAAGTTCAAGTGGATAATATGTACTTTTACAGTAGTAACCTATTAACCGAATTTTTAAAAATACAAGCACAGTTATATTTATTGCAAATACTTCCAAGTATTATGGGTCATAAAGCCTTTTCAAAAGTACATGAAAGTACTGAGCTCCTAGTAGGTCAAAGGTTTATGAATAAAATACTATTTTCAGCTGACTGAGTTTAATTATCCGTAGAAAACAATAATTCATTGCTTTACAAAAGTTTCTTGACTTTGTCCTTCAATAATGTATTATATTTGTGTTCTATGCAGGACAGGTAGCTTTGAATATAAACATTTCTTTTTGACCTACTCAGCCACTTTAGGTTCAATTACACTTATTCAAGAATAATAACTTTAAGTAGAGTTAGGCTAAACTCGGGTCTGACTGAATACTGATTGTAAAACAGACTTAAACACATGGATAAGCTTATCATTATAATAATGATAATTAAGTTTCTAAAATTAGGCAAACATCAAATATTTGCTAACATATTTAACATCATTTATTCAAGATGAAAGGGAACAAAGTTAGGCAAAATGATTTGAAAAATGCATTAAAAGATAAAAAAAAACATATGATATTTAATGCATTGATACAAAGTTGGAACACAAAAAGCTGTTTATGCAAGCTGCCTACCTGTTCATCCTGTATTTCACCAAATCTAAATGCTATATACAATGCTAAAAGCACAGTTCAAAGTGAAGCCATTATAATTTAAAGTTACTTAATTCTTCCAATATTTAAACGCTTAATCTTAATATACCCACAGATTAGGATATATTTAATATCAAATTAAAGAGTAAACAACAGTTACTGTATTATAGTCTATGTTCATTCATAATCTATAACAGTACAAATCAATAGAATTTAGACGTAATATTATAATCGTTATTGGGAAATTGCTTATACTTATCCCTCATTCTTGCACCAGATAAATGACAAGACTGAAATAAGCGGACATTACTGGATTTTACTTTAGTTCTAAAGTCAGAAATAAAACGTACAATATAAAATTTTATACAAAGAAAAGCTTTTTTGTAAAGAAAAAATATTTAAATACCCATAATTTCATTTCCCTTTCACGACTAAAAAAAGCAAAAAAAGAACTATTTTTAATGGCACCTCGTAGCAAAATATAGAATATTATAATATCTAGCCTAATCTAGGTCAACAAAATTCTATAAATAGTGACTATTGCATCATTCTTTTTTTCCTGGTTGATAAACGACTTTGCTGTTCTCATATAACTTTATAAACCAACCAACAAATGTCCGATTTTATTCTCCTTGAACCAGATTCAATACAAGTTTAAGGAAGTAAAAGAATTCGTTCACAAATGCACCAGTATAACGACACATTAAAATGCTATATTTGCAAAAGATATCGTCCCCATGTGTGATCAAAGTTAACGTAACTTGTGTCTGAAATATCGTTCAACCATCATATATATAGCTTTAACAGGGTCTCCGCTGAGGTTTTTTGACATGACAAACTGGAAATAATTTTGTCGAGATTAATGTTCCAATTGATATACCTAGTGTGCAAAATTTCCAGTAATTCACTCCATTTTTCCAGAATAATTATTTTGTGAAAAATGGGTCAAAGACAGAAATGGCCGGGTTGCATTTGTTAACCAAATATCATGAGGCAGTGATGTTATAAAAATTTGTACCATTGACATTAATGTTGAAAAAACTAGAACTATCACTAAATGTGATTTAATATCCCGCAAGACTGCTTTGGAAATGAGGAAGGTACTAGTAACAGAATACCTTGCAAAAAAAACAGAAATAGAGTTATGGTTGTGGGCAATTAAAGATAGTTGTGGTTCTTGTACGTTGCATTTCCTTCAATGTGGTTGACCATTGATGAAGTTTCATTGAATTCTTTGTAAAAAGTCCAAAAAGAGTTACGCTTCTTGAGCACTGCATTTCCTCTCATTGCACCTGACCATTGAATGAAGTTTCATTGAATTCTAAACATTAGTTTTTAAGTTATGCACCTGACAAGGAAAAGTATCAAAGGGCAATAACTCTGTTATTTGTCAAATGGTGTTATTGTTTTGTGCACTGCACTTCCTCTTAATGTGCTTGGTGATTGTATGAAGTTGTATTGAATTCCAACTAGTAGTTTTCAAATTATGCTCCTGACAAGTGAAAGTAGTTGTATTGAATTCCAACTGGTAGTTTTCAAATTATGCTCCTGACAAGTAAAAGTCACAAAGGACAATAATTTTGTAATTAGTCAAGATGGAGTTTTGGTTCTTGTGCACTGCACTTCCTCTTATTGTGCCTGACCATTGTATGAAGTTGTTTTGACTTCCAACCCGTAGTTTTCAAGTTATGCTCCAGACAAAAAAAGCAATTGAAAAGCAACAAAGGGCAATAACTCTGTAATTACTTTAGAAGGGGTTATGGTTCTTATGCACTGCACTTTCTCTTATTGTGCTTGACCATTGTATGAAGTTGTTTTGAAATCCAAACCAGTAGTTTTCAAGTTATGCTCCGAAAAAGTAAAAGTAACAAAGGGCAATAACTCTGTAATTACTTTAGATAGAGTTATGGTTCTTGAGCATTGCATTTCCTCTCATTGCACTTGACCATTAAATGAAGTTTCATTGAATTCTAAACATTAGTTTTTAAGTTATGCACCTGACAAGGAAAAGTATCAAAGGGCAATAACTCTGTTATTTGTCAAATGGTGTTATTGTTTTTGTGCACTGCACTTCCTCTTAATGTGCTTGACCATTGTATGAAGTTAAATTGAATTCCAACCATTAGTCTTCAAGTTATGGTCCGTGACTTGTATATGAACTCAAAATAGGAAAGGCCCTACCTTGTGTGGACAGTCAGATTAAAAAAAAAAATCTTCACTAATTATCTCAGCATGTTAGACAGAATCATTCTATCTATATCACCACTGTATTGATATGACAATTTGTGAACTGGTTAAATAACAGAGCAGCTATCTAGCACACTCCAGTGCCAGCTTTACAAAGAACTGGTGAATAAATGTCTATTTTCTCATTCATTTTATACAGGTGTCATAGAGGATAACATGTTTGTGACTCGAGCAGCCCTCAAATTTCATATCTGCATTAAAGGGAACCACAGGCAAAATTTTCATTTCTTAGTTTTTAATTTTTCATTCATTATTCTATTAATGTTCTCAAAAAAGATACACAAGGCTGTCAAAGGAACACAACTTTTCTCCTAATAAAGAAAAAAGTAGTCATTTCCTAACTTGACCCACGTGGGTCAGGTTAGAGCGTTTTAAATTTCACAATAGTTGTCACAGTGAACTAAAAGAACGTTTAAGAACAAATCAAATGAATGACTTAGACTTGTTTAAATCATACAATATCCATGATATCTGTTATTGTAGCTTCCAGGGTTTGTTAAAGTCACATGACATTTTTTAAAACTACTTTGTCTTTTTGTTTGCGTTTAAATTTCGTTTAACATATATAGATAGATATATTTACTCTTCAAACTCAAAATATGTAGAATTTATTCAGAAATTCATACTAGGACTTTAAGAAATGCCATTTTAGCCTGATTTGAGTACATAAGGTCATTTTAACATTTTTATCATTATTTTGCCTGAATATCCCTTTAAGTGGCAGACAGTTATTAAAACAGTTTAAAAAAAAAAGGAATGATGAGTACATATTAAAGAGTGCTTTTATAAACTAGTATTCTGTTTTGCATTTTCAGAGTAGGATTTCACCTTGTTAGCAAAATCTTTTTTCCCCAAGTTAACCTGCACTTATCAACAATTACTTTAACTGTTTTGATTACAAATACCTGATGGAAAACTAACATTTTTTTGTAATGATAAGCTCTAGAACATTCTCCTTTTTGTACTTGCTAAAACTTTGACACAGATTTGCGTGTCATTTACCATTAAATAGGACAAATTTTTCTTTGTTATAATATTCTCAAAACACAAAGAGTGCTCTTAGGGAATTTACTTCAACCAATAAAAAAATAATGATGGACAGCATATCAACCAAAATGAAAATTCACCAATAACAAGAACATTTGTTTTATAGACAAAATGTTAAACAGCCTCTAATAACAAGTTTTTTTAACCTATTAGCACTAAACATTTTATATATTTTCACATTACTGCCCTTGATTTTACCTATGATCTATAAATAATTATAAAACCTAGTTGTTTGACTTTCAAGCACAGTGACACAGAAAAGGTCATATAGATTTAATAAAGTTATGATGGATGATGGAAAAACAGTAAATCTGGGTATAATAACTATTCTGTATTTTATGTTCATGAGATCAAAGGGTGTCATTCTGTACATATTTCTTTTTAGAAAAAAAAAAACAACCTAGAACTCTGGCTATTGCAACCAATCTTCAGCATACATGCTGAAGCAGCAAGGATGTCTTTTGAACATTAATTCACAACCAAAAACTCTGGCTTCTGCAACTAGTCTTCAGTATATATGCTAAAGCAGCAAGGATGTCTTTTGTACATTAATTCACAACCAAAATCTCTGGCTTCTGCAACTAGTCTTCAGCATATATGCTAAAGCAGCAAGGAAGTCTTTATGTACAATTTTTTCAGGTAAAAAACCAAAAACTCTGGCTACTGAAGCCAATCTTTCGTATGCAATGTTATGGACAGAGGAGCAAGTGTGTCTTACTATGTATTTTTCCAGGTATACAATCAAGAAACCTTCTGTAAGCCAGCTGAAATGCTACTCAACACATAAAGATTCAATGCCCTTAGCAAGGTAAAATTCAATGCCCTAAGCAAGGTAAAATTCAATGCCCTAAGCAAGTTAAAAAGTCCACAATGAGTAAGAGTTAAGGGTTAAAAGGTCAGATATGTAAACTATGATAATACAGTGATATTACCTCAACAAGATGGTTGTCAGGTCCATACAGCTCCTTGTCTAATTCAATAACAAGGCTCTTAAAGAACGATGAAAATTTTCTCTTTGTTTTATTTGCATCACTAAGCTTGGCACTGGCAGCCTGAAAACAAAATTGAATTATTTATTTGATTTTTTTTCTTTCCTTTTTCATCCCCCCCCCCCGATCAGTTAAAAACTCATTGTTAAACAGGGCTCTACATTTTTTTGGAATAGTGTTGTCTAGATGACTATTTATTCATTTCACTTAGGCATTTAAACATAATAAACTGCATTGCATTCAAAGAATGGAACATTTTTTTTTTCTGATTACACCAAAACACAGTTTTTTAAATCATAAAAGAATACCACTAACATCTTCAAGAAGTCTGCCCTCGACTCTAAGCTCCCACGAGGGGACAGATTCCTCGCCTTCCTCACCCTCGGCAGGTTTAGCCGGATAGAATGTGTTTGATATGAAGATACGTAACTTTCTCTTTTGCTGGAATGACAAATCATTCAAGTATTACCACACAAAATCTTACAGATGATCATATTTACATGGTTTCTATGAACTACATGTTATGACTTCACAACACGCATGTCTCTAAAGTTTTTGAATTTTACTTGAAACAAAAATACATTGCCTGTGTCACAAACACAGTGCTTAATCAGTCTATATTCTCCTGGATACTCAAGTCTTGTTTTGGGTTTTATTATATAGAAATCTCTCAACCTTGTTGAATTTAAGTAATTGTCTTGCTTTGCATTAAATTTAGATCTGTTGACAACAAATTGTAACAAATTATGCTTATCACAAAATAGGCTTGTCACAAAATATGCTTGTAACAAAATATGCTTGTCATGAAATATGCTTATCACAAAGGATGCTTATCACAAAATAGGCTTGTTACAAAATATGCTTGTAACAAAATATGCTTGTCATGAAATATGCTTATCACAATATATGCTGATCTCAAAATAGGCTTGTCACAAAACATGCTTGTAACAAAATATGCTTATCAAAAATAGGTTTGTCACAAAATATGCTTTAACAAAATATGCTTATCACAATATATGCTTATCTCAAAATAGGCTTGTCACAAAACATGCTTGTAACAAAATATGCTTATCACAAAATAGGCTTGTCACAAAATATGCTTGTAACAAAATATGCTTATCAAAAATAGGCTTGTCACAAAATATGCTTATCACAAAGAAGGCTTTCACAAAATATGCTTGTTATAAAATATGCTTGTCATAAAATAGGCTTGTCACAAATGCAATGTCTCTTAATGGGAACATTTACAAAAGAATTGCTCAATTCATGTTGACTTTAGTCCATACACATTTTCTCTTTCCCCCCCCTGGCATTTGACCTCTGCATGTGACCATCACAATGACCACAGGAAAAACACACTGGCTTACAATTATTTCCAGAAGTTATGCTTCGTATAAGTGTTTCCCTTTGATCTCTAAATGTAACCTTGACCTAGTGAGCTGGTTCAGCACATGACACTTCATCCTATTGTAATAAGCTTTTGTATTAAACATAGAAATTGCTTCATGCATGTAAAATATATGCTATTGACAAAACTAGAGAGTACTTGCCTTTCCTCAAACCAGCCATTATTAACTGTTTTTTATCACCTTACTGTTGCTATCATTTACTGAAAGCTATTTTGAATATTTTCACATATTCACTGTTGGACCATAAGTGCATAAAACTAGCTCATGTAACTTTACTTGTACAAGTAAAGGTAGTCTTTTGGTCACTTTTTTAAGTTTAATAAAATTTAGGATGAATATGGGGGCGTGTTGCTTTGAGACTGTTGAAAACTTGCTCCTCCCAATTCATTTATATAGAAAATCTCGGCACTTAGACAAATATGCTGTTCTGCTGCTGTGCCAGTAAATGGGAGTTAAACACTGGTAAATCATAGTTAGCAAATATTTCAACCCAAAACAAGCACCTTCATTGGTCTTTTCAGGGCCTCCTGAATATCAAGTCGTTTTCTTGTGATGGTGGCATCAAGTTTACGTTCAAAGGCCAGCAAATCCATGTATGCTTGAGATTCGGGTACCAGATCCCTCACCTGTGAATACAAACAAATACAGGCTGGTTCCTATCATGTATAACAACCTGGAACCATTCATAGCTAACATTTTAAAGGAAGGGAAATTTGATTTGTTCATTAATGTTAAAAAATCAATTTGTGTCATAAAATTTACTTCTTTAATTATTATTCTTTATAATAATTTTTCAAAAGCAAATTGCTGTTACTATATTCAAAGTTACATCATCCTTTTGGCATACATGCCATAACGTCCCGGATGTCTGGGACAGTCCCGGAAATAAGGTGTCTGTCCCGCGGTGTCCCGGAGATGACTTATGTCCCGGTAAACATAATAATCTAAAATAATCTACTTTGAAGCAAGAAATTTTACATTTTTATATAATTTTATTGTCAAGTTTTTATAAACTAGTCTAGAACGCTAATAACGAACGATTATCCCCTAACAGCATTGCAATGGTGACACTAATCCTTTGATTGGTATATCTATGTGCCCCTTCAAACAAACAATTATTATTATCAAAGTAGATTATTTTGATCAATTAAAAGATAAATTGTTTACCCCATATGGCTTCCTGAGCGAAAGTGTCATACACTGTAATTAACCGGTCCCGTAATTAACAACTGGCCAGTATAAATTTAATCTGCCTGGAGACAGTTATTACTTACTAGTGGTCAAACATCATGAAAATTAACACTAAATATGAGGTGATGAAATCTACAAGATTCAGCGAATGTTTCAGGTAAACGACATGGCTAATTGTCATTACTTAACATAGCTTTATTCTACAGTAACGCTCAACTATTCGAAAATTTGTCACAAGGGTGTTTCATTGAGTATAATAATGCTTACCTATATGAATACATAAAATTGTCCGAAAAGGTACAAACCCTTCATTTAAAACTTAACCAAGAATTTATGAATTGAAAAAGGGCCATAATTATGCGAAAAGTAAATCAGAGTTATGGAACTTGTGCCAATCATCTTAGATAATCACAGACAACAAGAGAGTGAAGTTTCAATCCATTCCCTTCAGTAGTTATGGAGATACCAGCTTACACGCAAAAACTTAACCAAGAATTTCTAAGTCAAAAAATTGGCATAATTATGCAAAAAAGCAAATCAGAGTTATGGGACTTGTGCCAATCATCTTAGATAATCACAGAGACCAAGTGTGTGAAGTTTCAATCCATTCCCTTCAGTAGTTATGGAGATACCAGCTTACATGCAAAAACTTAACCAAGAATTTCTAAGTCGAAAAAGGGGCATAATTATGCACAAAAGCAAATCAGAGTTATGGGACTCGTGCCAATCATCTTAGATAATCACAGAGAACAAGTGTGTGAAGTTTCAATTCATTCCCTTCAGTAGTTATGGAGATACCAGCTTACATACAAAAACTTAACCACAGGGACGCCGACGCCGACAAATGGGTGACTGCATTAGCTCGATTATTCTGCAAATAGTCAAGCTAAAAATACGTTTGCTGATCAATGCCCCTCCTCTAAATGAAAAGTGTCCCGGAAATGAGTCTAAAAATTATGGCATGTATGCAGTTTTGGTCCTTAATTTAATCCTAATGCCTTTGGTACCGATATTTACCCCCCCCACACACACACACACACACAATTCTTCTGGTCCTCATTTATTAACCCCCCATCCTTTTGTTGCTTACATATTTATATATTTACCCATAATATTTTTGTCCTATACAAATTTATCTAACATTTAGATTATGTTTTGGTAAAAAAAGAAAATACCCTTTGGGGCAATATTTTGTCTGCCATTTTTTTCTTCTTTTTCCTGGAATAAAATATTATATAAAATAATAACATTACATTAAAACATAGAATGATTACTCATAACATTTCACATACCAATAATCAAAAGAAAGATAAAATCAGTAGCTTTTATAACAGAACAGTAAATAAATGGGTTGCATTAACATTGCAATCACTGGAGAAAACATTATAAACACATCCCCAAAACTACTTTGTCATGTTGCACACATGGTTTAAGAAAATTAAGTCTACAAACTTCAAGAAAAGCAATTTACACTATTATAAAACAAGGTGTCAAACCAACGTGTACCTTAAATAAAGTGCGCAGCAGAAATATCTTAAAATAGCCCTGATGCACGAAGGTTTTATGTAAATGTTTTATTTATTTAAACAGTGAATGAATTTTCTCCATATGCGTAAACAACTACAAACAAAACATTTGCGGTTACAAACTTCCTTGAAGTCTCACTGATTTTCAAACTGTCTGTTCATTTTTTTTACCGAATCAATTTTGAAAGTACAGTAATATATAAAATCAGAAATATATCACACACGACACACAGTCTGAATCCTTTGAGGAAAATGCTTTCTAACAGTATGGGAAAACATACATATTTTTGCAGCATTTGTAGAAAATCGATTTCAATATACTTTTTTCTGCCTGCTTTTCTGTGCAGTCTATTAAAATTTTAATCTTTTTATAAATAATAAAATTATAACAGCAACATTGAAAAGTTAAAAGTTCAAGATACAGATCAGGTCCAATTATATTACTGTATTATGATATTAGTTAACTAACGCTTTCATATGTTGGGCAGCTCTGGAATCACTCTGTCTTTTCCTATCCATCGGTGTTCCCATACCCATCTGGGGCGGGGGCATCCCTGGTCCCATACCAGGCCGAGGCATACCTACAAATAGAAACAAACATGGCATCCTGATTTTAACTGTATGTTTAATTTTAGATTCAGACTATTAAAAATAGCGTAATATAATACACCCATTGAAGAATAAATGTTTATTTCTAATGTCAGACAAAAATAATGTATGTCACCTAGCAGGATTTACTTTCATTCAACCTTAAATAAAATCAATGATGTCATCACTAATTATAACAAGATATGTTTGTAAAACATGTATGCCCCCTATCGGCAGCCAATTTGTCATGTGATCAGGTTATTATGCATGACTTCTGACCCAGTGAACAAGCAATTAATAAGGGTTATCTAGTATCTACTGGTCATGACTAGTCACAAGGTAATAATTATTGTGACCCCATAGGTTGTGTGCAGCAATTAAAGTTATTAAAAATCTTACCAAATAATATATACATAAATTTTATGAATCACATAAGCCTCATTAATGACAGCCAAGTTGTTATATTACATAAGATCTTCAAATGTGTATACCAAAAGCACATAAAAATATCAACCAAGGCAACTTGAGTTGATGAGTTATTGGTCAGAAACAGTCATTAAGTACAAGGTCACTATGACATTGACCCCTTGACCCCAAAATCAAAAGAGGTCATCTACTGGTCATGACCAATCATCATACCAAGTTTGAAGTTCCTAGGCCTAAGGGTTCTTTAGTTATTGATCAGAAACCATTTTTACCTACAAGGTAAATGTGACCTTGACCTTTGACCCCAAAATCAATAGGGGTCATATGCTGGTCATGACCAATCATCATACCAAGTTTGAAATTCCTACGCCTAAGCGTTCTTTAGTTATTGATCAGAAACTGTTTTTACCTACAAGGTCAATGTGACCTTGACCCCTTGACCCCAATATCAATAGGGGTCATCTGCTGGTCATGACCAATCATCTTACCAAGTTTGAAGTTCCTAGGCCTAAGCATTCTTTAATTATTGATCGGAAACCGTTTTTACCTACAAGGTCAATGTGACCTTGACCTTTGACCCTTTGACCCAAATATCAATTGGGGTCATCTGCTGGTCATGGCCAATCATCTTACCAAGTTTGAAGTTCCTAGGCCTAAGCATTCTTTAATTATTGATCGGAAACCGTTTTTACCTACAAGGTCAATGTGACCTTGACCTTTGACCCCTTGACCCCAAAATCAATAGGGGTCATCTGCTGGTCATGACCAATCACCATATCAAGTTTGAAGTTCCTAGGCCTGAGGGTTCTTTAGTTATTGATCAGAAACTGTTTTTACCTACAAGGTCAATGTGACCTTGACCTTTGACCCCTTGACCCCAAAATCAATAGGGGTCATCTGCTGGTCATGACCAATCACCATATCAAGTTTGAAGATCCTAGGCCTAAGCGTTCATAAGTAATTGATCGGAAACCGTTTTAACATACAAGGTCAATGTGACCTTGACCTTTGACCCCTTGACCTCAAAATCAATAGGGTTCATCTCCTGGTCATGACCAATCACCATATCAAGTTTGAAGATCCTAGGCCTAAGCGTTCATAAGTTATTGATCGGAAACCGTTTTAAAATACAAGGTCAATGTGACCTTGACCTTTGACCTCAAAATCAATAGGGGTCATCTACTGGTCATGACCAATCACCATACCAAGTTTGATGTTCCTAGGCCTAAGGGTTCTTTAGTTATCACTCGGAAACCATTTGGTCTACGGACCGACGGACCGGACGGACCGACGGACCGACAAGTGCAAAGCAATATACCCCCTCTTCTTCGAAGTGGGGGCATAATCATTACAGGCAATTTATTTTTCATCACATCACAGCAATAAAGACATTTAACTCTCCATACATTTCTTATTCTACAATTTAAGGTGCAGGTCAAAGAAATTCAGTTTAAAAGCAAAAAAATGAATAAAATAATAATAAAAAGAAAATGTTCAGCTAAAAACAAATTTAATATCATTGCTTTAATAAAAGTAATACATAACACATTATAATCACTCTTTCTATAAAATGCAAACATAAAATAAGCTTAAATTCCTACACTACATTCAGTATATTGGTGCTTGGATGATGCTGTATATTTGCACAAACAGCTTTACTAAACTTGTACATAATTGACTGTATAATATATATATATAAATATTGTGCATCTTTCCTGCATCAGAAAGCACATTATGCTTAATAGGCATTTCCCCTAATGTCATAAATAGACTTGTCTATATTTTAATCTGGTCAAAACAACTCATCATTTTTGGGCAAAACTTTTAAATAAGTATCATAGAATGAATACCCAACAGTGCAGACTATGTTCAGATGGCACAGATGTGCACTGGTTGGGTAGATTCAGTTGCTGCCAGCATGGTAAGGTTAATCATTTCCACAAGTCCATTTGATGTTATAATATTGAGGCAACATTGTAAGACTCAAACCCACAATCCATGGGTTGAGAAGCAGACACCTTGTCTATACCATCCCTTCTTTATATACAGATGACAGTTAAATGCTCTAGCAAGGATGTTACACGATTCTGTCCCCTTTTTATACTACAGTGCCCTTTTATATGACAAACATACAATATCTCTAGTTAAAGTCTGAAGTAATCGTTTCATATTGTATTAAAGGAGCTCCACTGACAAACAAAAAGCCTAAAAACATAAAATTTGAAATTCTTGCATAGATCAACTGGGGCACATAAAGGAAAACATATTCATAAGACATACAAATATACTCAGATTTAAATTTACAAAATAATTTTTTATGATTCTTATGCTGATTAGAGTTCAAAAGTGTCTAAATGCAATCATTTCAATCTAAATAATTATTCTGAAAAAAAAAAACAAAAAAAAACAACAACAACGGCGTGAGCAAATGATCTGTAATTTGCATGGGTACAAGTTATTGGTCCTGGGACTTCCATTTAGGTACCCAAGTCTTTCCAGTCCTGTCATGTTAAAAAAAAACTCAGTGGAGTCCCTTTAAGTGATATCATCTAAAAACTCCCAACTTCAAAAACCAAACAAGAATGCATCAAGCCTAGTATGTAAAAAGTCAATCTTTGGTGATAATTGATATATTTTTATATGCTGGTTAGGAAACACTGCACACTGCGAAGGTCAAAGGTCATAATGCTGACTTGACTTTTCATCAAAACTTCTGATGTCCTTTTGCGCACCCTCCCCCCCCCCCCCAATTAAAAACACAAGAGCGATCAGTAATCACATGTGTCGCCTCATGATGGCCAATTTCATGTTGGGACAAATTTTGTGACAGACGGACAGACAGACGAACAGTGCACAACTAGACTTGGTACTGATCATTCCTGTAAAGTTTGGATAAAATAAAATTGCACCAGTAGTTTATGAGGAGTAGTCCGGACAAGCTTTTGCATATCTGGCAACACACAGAAAAAAACACCTTTTTATCAAAGGGCCATAACTCAGCCAAAAATCATTCAACCGGAAAACCCTTGTAATATGCGCAAGGACTTGAGCTACAGATCAATCCTGTAAAGTTTCATTGAAATTGCATTAGTGGTATAAGAGAAGTAGTCCGGACAAACTTTAACAATAAAAATTATTAAAGGGCCATAACTCAAACAACAAGAACCGGTTGAACCGGGTGATGCTCCCCGAGAAGGTTCTGGACACAGGAAAGTATAAAAAAAATGAACAAAAGGCAAAAACTCCAAAATTAGGCAAAGCGGAGTTATGTGTTTTTGCACTGCACTTCTATTCAATGAGATCTATCTATCTATAAAGTTTCCTGATGATATCAGAGTTATGTCCCGGGTAAAGGTCAAAGTGTAAAAATGAACCAAGGGCAATAACTCCAAAATTAGACCAGGCTTTGTTTAGGTTCTTTAAGCATTGCAGTTCTATCCAATTATATCTAGCTACCTACAAAGTTTCATGTTTTAAAGTAATGTCCAGGACAAAAGTCAAAAAGTAAAAATAAACAAAGGGCAATTTCTTCAAAATAAGGCAAGGCAGAGTAATGATTCTAAAGCACTGCACTTCCACCCAATGAGACCTATCTATCTACAAAGTTTCATGCTGATATCTCTTATGATTTTAGAGTAATGTCCCAGACAAAGTTCAAAGTGTCAAAATGAACAAAGGGCAATAACTCCAAAAGTAGGCAAGACAGTGTTACAGTTCTTGTGCACTGCAAACTTACTCAATGAGATCTATCTACCTACAAAGTTTCATGTTGATATCTCTTATACATTAAGAGTAATGTCCCGGACAAAGTTCAAAGTGTAAAAAAAAACAAAGGGGGATAATTCAAAAATTAGGCAAGGCAGAGTTAAGGTTCTTATTCACTGCACACCTACTCAATGAGATCTATCTACCTACAAAGTTTCATGTTGATACCTCTTATACTTTTAGAGTTATGTCCCGGACAAAGTTCAAAGTGTAAAATAAACAAAGGGGGATAATTCAAAAATTAGACAAGGCAGAGTTACGGTTCTTGTGCACTGCACAGCTACTCAATGAGATCTATCTACCTACAAAGTTTCATGTTGATACCTCTTATACTTTTAGAGTTATGTCCCGGACAAAGTTCAAAGTGTAAAAATAAACAAAGGGGGATAATTCAAAAATTAGGCAAGGCAGAGTTACGGTTCTTGTGCACTGCACACCTACTCAATGAGATCTATCAACCTACAAAGTTTCATGTTGATACCTCTTATACTTTTAGAGTTATGTCCCAGACAAAGTTCAAAGTGTAAAATAAACAAAGGGGGGTAATTCAAAAATTAGGCAAGGTAGAGTTACGGTTCTTGTGCACTGCACACCTACTCAATGAGATCTATCTACCTACAAAGTTTCATGTTGATACCTCTTATACTTTTAGAGTTATGTCCCGGACAAAGTTCAAAGTGTAAAATAAACAAAGGGGGATAATTCAAAAATTAGGCAAGGCAGAGTTACGGTTCTTGTGCACTGCACACCTACTCAATGAGATCTATCTACCTACAAAGTTTCATGTTGATACCTGTTATACTTTTAGAGTTATGTCCCGGACAAAGTTCAAAGTGTAAAATAAACAAAGGGGGATAATTCAAAAATTAGGCAAGGCAGAGTTACGGTTCTTGTGCACTGCACACCTACTCAATGAGATCTATCTACATACAAAGTTTCATGTTGATACCTCTTGTTGTTTCAAAGTTATGTCCCGGACAAGAAAAGGGGACGGACGGACTGACGGAAAGACGGACGGACGGACGGACAAGGCGGCGTCTATATGCTCCCCCCCAAAATTTTTTCGGGGAGCATAAAAATCATTGAACCGGAAAATGCTGACAATATGCACAACTAGACTTGGTACTGATCATTCCTGTAAAGTTTGGATTAAATTGCACCAGTAGTTTATGAGGAGTAGTCCGGACAAGCTTTGTGTATCTGGCCAACACACAGAAAAAGAAACCTTTTTATCAAAGGGCCCATAACTCAGCCAAAAATTATTCAACAGGAAAACCCTTGCAATATGCGCAAGGACTTGAGCTACAGATCAATCCTGTAAAGTTTCATTGAAATTGCATTAGTGGTATAAGAGAAGTAGTCCGGACAAACTTTAAAATTAAAAATTATTAAAGGGCCATAACTCTGACAAAAATCATTGAACCGGAAAATGCTGACAATATGCACAACTAGACTTGGTACTGATCATTCCTGTAAAGTTTGGATGAAATTGCACCAGTAGTTTATGAGGAGTAGTCCGGACAAGTTTTGTGACGGACGGACGGACAGACGACGGAGAAGTGATCCTTATATGTCGCCACTACTCCGTAGAGTCGACACAAAAACAAGCATTTGCATAACCTTGACGGAAAGCTCCAATATTTTAAGACACATTATTTAAATTTCATTTGCTGTCTTTTCTGCTTTTTGATAATTCATAATAGCAATAATTCCTTGATAAAAGTTTCTGGATCATCAACCATGCAAAAAAGCAAAATAATATATAAATACAAGTCCAAGACCTTCAAAATATGGTAATAAAATGCACAATTTCAGCTCATATATGGACAAACTCCCCATATATAAAGTCTCAGGTTAAAATACCATGTGCAATTCAGATTTTTTCTTTTCTAAAAACCTAATTTGACCTCTTTGTTCGGGAATTTGTCCACATCTGAAAATTAGCACCACTGTAAAGCAAGCCATTTGCATCTGCTGTATAAATTCTGGCTAAAAATAGATATGCTAAAATAGGTATGCTAAAAATAGATATGCTAAAAATAGACACAAAACTGCAACTTTATTCACACTGCTGAAGAAACAAGCGCTTTTAAATACACTCTGCTTACCAGAATCCTTGGTTTTTGATGACTGGCCTGTAAAATGAACTATTTATTATCACCCATTGTAAAATATTTGTTCCTTAATTCATCAATAACACAGGACACAGTGACTGCAGTCTGGGAGTCTGCATGGCCAATTGTAAAACTGTGTCAATAAAGTGCCAATCACAAAGAACATTTTGAGTTTTACATATATGACATGACTAGGCCCTCCACAACCTTGATAATAAGTAGTAATTAACAGTGACAGAGATACTGTTTTGGCAAAAGTTTATGCTGATGTATATGATACAAATGGATCTTAGTTATTAAGCCAAAGTTTTCATTTTCAAGGTCACTGTGACCATGACCTTTAGTGCACATAAGGCCAATCCATCTGCTAAATAATGACAACCAGCATATGAAGATTTGGAGGCTGTCCATCATATTTTTTTTCTAGATACTGAGCAAAAACAATGTACTTATATGATAACCTTACTAACAAACATTAGAAAAACTAGAAATGTGTTGTCACGCCACGGATGCCCCTGCATGCAGCCAAAATTTCAGATGTTATAATATCTAGGTCCAAATTTGTTTGCACAATTTTTTTTTTTTCATTTTAAGTTCAAAGCCCTTAAAACTATTCAATGTTAACATCCGCCTATATGACTGAAATACTGTTGGGAAAAGGCGTAAAATGAAACAAACAAATGGGAAAAGGCGTAAAATGAAACAAACAATGTCAACATAAACCATTTTTATGCAAAGTTCAAGGCACTGAAACTATTCAGTGTTAACCTTTTGTTAATTGCATACTGCATATTTGTAGCCAAAATAATGGCTACATACATTTCAACAAAAGTATAAGTGCTGAAACTGAAAATTCAAAATATTTCCAACATTCAAGAGAGATAACTTTGTCCAAAATCATTGAACCACAACAAAATTCAAAGTTGAACTGCTTATTCCTAAGATGTATCTATATGTCAAATTTAAGTTGAATGTGTACAACCATTGGGGAGATAATGAACGGAAACTTAAAATTTCTGATTTTTTTCAAAGTTCAAGAGGGATAACTCTGTCAGATATCATCAAACCAAGACCAAATTGGAAATTGACCAATGCATTCTTGTGACATATCCATATCTTTAATTTGATTTGAATATGTACATTACTGTTGGGGAGATCATGAACGGAACTGAAAATTTCATTTTTAAGTTAAAGGGGCATAACTCTGCCAAAAATCATCGAATCATGACAAAATTTGAACTTGACCTGCCCAATTTTTTGATGTATCCATTTGTCAAATTTGAGATGTATGTGTAATACCCTAGAGGAGATAATGAACAGAAACTGAAAATTTCATATTATTTTCAAAGTGAAAGGGACATAACTCTGCCGAAAATCATCGAACCATGACCAAATTCGAACTTGACCTGTGCATTCGTTTGACATATGTATGTGTAACACTGTTGGGGAGATAATGAACAGAAACTGAAAATTTCATATTATTTTCAAACAAGAGGGCCATGATGGCCCTGAAGTCGCTCACCTGTATATAGGCCCCCGGAGCGGGGCCAGTTTCAACCCCAGGGCTTTTATTTGAACAAACTTGGTAGACACCCATTAGAAGATGTTTAATGCTAAACATCTAAGGTCTAGCTGGTCAAGTTTTTTCTTTACACATATAGTTAAAAAAACAATGACACACCTGGGGCAGGGCCAGTTTTGACCCCAGGGCTTTTATCTGAACAATCTTTGTAGACACTTACTAGAAAATGTTTCATGCTTAATATCTAATCTCTAGCTATTCGAGTTTTTTCAAAGAAGATTTTTAAGTTTTTGCTATACACATATAAGGAAAATCAATGTCCCCCGGTGCGGGGCCAATTTTGACCCCAGGGCTTATACATGAACAAACTTTGTAGACACTCACTAGAAGATGCTTTGTGCTTAATATCTAAACTCTAGCTATTTGAGATTTTTCAAAGAGGATTTTTTAAGTTTTTGTTACACACAAATATAAGGAAAATGAATGACCCCCGGGCGGGGCCAATTTTGACCCCAGGGCTTTTATTTGAACAAACTTGGTAGACACTCACTAGAAGATGATTCTTGCTTAGTATCTAATCTGTAGCTATTTTTTTTTTTTCAAAGAAGATTTTTTAAGTTTTTGCTATACACATATAAGAAAAATCAATGACCCCCGGGCGGGGCCAATTTTGACCCCAGGGCTCTTATTTGAACAAACTTGGTAGACATCCATTAGAACATGTTTCATGCTAAATATCTTAGCTCTAGCTCTTTGGGTTCTTTAAAAGTAGATTTTTCAAGTTTTTACTATATGCATATAGGGAAAATCAATGACCCCCTTGGGCGGGGCCAATTTTGACCCCAGGGCTTTTATTTGGTCAAACTTGGTAGACACCCATTAGAAGATGTTTCATGCTAAATATCTTAGCTCTAGCTCTTTGGGTTCTTTAAAAGTAGATTTTTCAAGTTTTTACTATATGCTTATAGGGATAATCAATGACCCCCTTGGGCAGGGCTAATTTTGACCCCAGGGCTTTTATTTGAACAAACTTGGTAGACACCCATTAGAAGATGTTTCATGCTAAATATCTTAGCTCTAGCTCTTTGGGTTCTTTAAAAGTAGATTTTTCAAGTTTTTACTATATGCATATAGGGAAAATCAATGACCCCCTGGGGCGAGGCCAATTTTGACCCCAGGGCTTTTATTTGAACAAACTTGGTAGACACTCACTAGAAGATGTTTCATGCTAAATATCTAAGCTCTAGCTCTTAAGGTTTTTTAGAAGAAGATATTTAAAGTTTTTTCTTTTGGTTGCCAATTGGCAACCAGAGTTCTGCATGGAATGGAATTCTTTTAACAACTTTGTTAAGGCTTCACACAAGGAACATCCCTGTGAAGTTTCATTATGATCTGCCTTATGGTTTCAGAGGAGATGTTGTTTTAAAAGTGTGAACGTACGACGTACGACGGACAACAGACGACAGATGAAGAGTGATCCTAATAGCTCACCTTGAGCATATGAGCACAACTGTAGCAACAGCTTTTTCTTTGTTAATGTCTAGCATGAAATCTTGAAAAAATATTTCCAGTCTGGTCATGTCAAATAAAACTCAATTTAATACCATTCTCTAAATAGGTAGCCATAAACATTATTTAAACCAATACTAGACAAAGGTGACTGTTATGATCCCTGTCTGGGTTTTAAGTTCAATTTTATTTACCTTAAGATATAGATAAGAATGCACAGTACAGTTTTTAAACTTTTGCCCATCATAAATCATTATTAATGTACTTTTGCAGTAGTACAACAACAGCCTAGTGGCATATTAACCACTTTTTATATCAAAATTATAAACCCTGTCCCCTGTTATGTGACACTTTATCTATGAACAAAATAACATTGGGTTAAAAATAGGTTAACAAACACTGTACATTCCTCTTGGTAACAAATATAATCAAATATGTGTTCCTTTACCTGTTCAAAAAGGTCAGAAACAAAAACTGTCCTCTTACTGTTGTATAACCATATACAGATGAACTATGGTTAAGTGTTCCCTATAATATTTCATTAATATTTAAGAGTTAAAAAATTTGACTGTTTTATAACTCACATTTAATATGGTGGCTTGTATTATACAAGAGGGCCATGATGGCCCAAAGTCGCTCACCTGTATATAGGCCCCCGGAGCGGGGCCAGTTTAAACCCCAGGGCTTTTATTTGAACAAACTTGGTTGACACCTATTAGAAGATGTTTCATGCTAAACATCTAAGGTCTAGCTTATTGGGTGTTTTAAAAGAAGATTTTATATATATATATATATATATATATATATATATATATATATATATATATATATATATATATATATATATATGTATATGTATATGTATATACATATGTAATTTATATATATATATTATATATATACAATATACATACATACATACATATATATATATATATATATATATATATATATATATATATATATATATATATATATATATATATATGTATTGCATTTTTTGGTGTGTGTGTATATATGAAACTATGTATGTATCTATATTGTATATATATATCTTATATATATGTAAATATATATGTACGTATGTATGTATATATATATATATATATATATAAATATGTATGTATATATATATATATATATATATATATATATATATATATATATATATATATATATATATATATATATATATATGTATGTATGTATATATATAATATGTATATATCTAAAAAAAAAAAGTCGAGCTAATGAATGACCCCCGGGGCGGGGCCAATTTTGACCCCAGGGCTCTTATTTGAACGAACATGGTAGACATCCATTTGAACATGTTTCGTGCTAAATATCTTAGCTCTAGCTCTTTGCATTCTTTCAAAGAAAATTTTTTAAGTTTTTACTATATGCATATAGGGAAAATCAATGACCCCCTGGGGCGGGGCCAATTTTGACCCCAGGGCTTTTATTTGAACAAACTTGGTAGACACCCATTAGAAGATGTTTCATGCTAAATATCTTAGCTCTAGCTCTTTGGGTTCTTTAAAAGAAGATTTTTTAAGTTTTTACTATATACATATAGGGAAAAACAATGACCCCCAGGGCGGGGCCGATTTTAATTCTAGGAACAAAATTTGAACAAATTTGGTTTTGGACCTATAGATGATACCATAGACCAAATATCAAAGCTCTAAGCCATTTACTTTCAGACCAGAAGATTTTTCAAGTTTTCACTATATGTATATAATGAAAATCAATGACCTCCGAGGGCGGGGCCAATTTTGACCCGAGGGCCATTATTTGAACAATCTTGGTAGAGGTCTACCACACAATGTTTCATGCCAAATATCAAATCTGTAGCCTTTGCCAATTCAGAGAAGAAGATTTTTTTATGTTTTACTATATACATATTAGAAAAACCTATGACCCCCCGGGGCGGGGCCAATTTTGACACTAGGGACAAAATTTGTACAACTTTGGTATTGGACCTTCAGAT